AATCTCGAACAGCATTGATCACTTGCACTTCTATTGTAATCTCAACTGCAATACAGGTCATTTGGCTGTGCTATTAGATCAGTGGTAACACAGTAGCCCTTTCCACACACAGTCCCTGTTATCCCGTATACCGGTTGAAAATGGCAGATTTTGTGATTGATTATCACCTAAATTGGAATGCAGTGGCCGTACAGTAACATGCTATCAAAACTCAGTTTCTCCGCTTCACAGCGCTGTATGGGTTTTGACTGACAGTTGTTATAAACTTGAGCAGCATGCACAACAAGAAGATGTCCCCATCCCATCCGCTAATTGGGCTACTTTTGCACATTTGTAGTCTGAGTGATGGGAATGCTGTAAAGCAAGAGGAGTGGATGTGTTCTGAAAGATGATGAGGATTATAATACATACTGCTTTGATGTTATTCAAGCAAACCAAATGTGCACTTCATACACACACTTGAATGTACTCATGACTCCATTACAGTGGGGGAAAAAAGTATTTAGTCAGCCACCAATTGTGCAAGTTCTCCCACTTAAAAAGATGAGAGAGGCCTGTAATTTTCATCATAGGTACACGTCAACTATGACAGACCAAATGAGATTTTTTTTTCCAGAAAATCACATTGTAGGATTTTTAATGAATTTATTTGCAAATTATGGTGGAAAATAAGTATTTGGTCAATAACAAAAGTTTCTCAATACTTTGTTATATACCCTTTGTTGGCGATGACACAGGTCAAGGTTTTCACACACTGTTGCTGGTATTTTGGCCCATTCCTCCATGCAGATCTCCTCTAGAGCAGTGATGTTTTGGGGCTGTCGCTGGGCAACACGGACTTTCAACTCCCTCCAAAGATTTTCTATGGGGTTGAGATCTGGAGACTGACTAGGCCACTCCAGGACCTTGAAATGCTTCTTACGAAGCCACTCCTTTGTTGCCCGGGCGGTGTGTTTGGGATCATTGTCATGCTGAAAGACCCAGCCACGTTTCATCTTCAATGCCCTTGCTGATGGAAGGAGGTTTTCACTCAAAATCTCACGATACATGGCCCCATTCATTCTTTCCTTTACACGGATCAGTCGTCCTGGTCCCTTTGCAGAAAAACAGGCATGATGTTTCCACCCCCATACTTCACAGTAGGTATGGTGTTCTTTGGATGCAACTTAGCATTCTTTGTCCTCCAAACACGACGAGTTGAGATTTTACCAAAAAGTTATATTTTGGTTTCATCTGACATTTTCCCAATCCTCTTCTGGATCATCCAAATGCACTCTAGCAAACTTCAGACGGGCCTGGACATGTGCTGGCTTAAGCAGGGGGACACGTCTGGCACTGCAGGATTTGAGTTCCTGGCGGCGTAGTGTGTTACTGATGGTAGGCTTTGTTACTTTGGTCCCAGCTCTCTGCAGGTCATTCACTAGGTCCCCCCGTGTGGTTCTGGGATTTTTGCTCACCGTTCTTGTGATCATTTTGACCCCACGGGGTGAGATCTTGCATGGAGCCCCAGATCGAGGGAGATTATCAGTGGTCTTGTATGTCTTCCATTTCCTAATAATTGCTCCCACAGTTGATTTCTTCAAACCAAGCTGCTTACCTATTGCAGATTCAGTCTTCCCAGCCTGGTGCAGGTCTACAATTTTGTTTCTGGTGTCCTTTGACAGCTCTTTGGTCTTGGCCATAGTGGAGTTTGGAGTGTGACTGTTTGAGGTTGTGGACAGGTGTCTTTTATACTGATAACAAGTTCAAACAGGTGCCATTAATACAGGTAACGAGTGGAGGACAGAGGAGCCTCTTAAAGAAGAAGTTACAGGTCTGTGAGAGCCAGAAATCTTGCTTGTTTGTAGGTGACCAAATACTTATTTTCCACCATAATTTGCAAATAAATTCATTAAAAATCCTACAATGTGATTTTCTGGATTTTTTTTCTCAATTTGTCTGTCATAGTTGACGTGTACCTATGATGAAAATTACAGGCCTCTCACATCTTTTTAAGTGGGAGAACTTGCACAATTGGTGGCTGACTAAATACTTTTTTTCCCCACTGTATATGCGCACCAAAATTACAATATGTTTGCCTTTTGAAAGCCTAACACTATAAAATCTTATTTTATCACTTGTTGCCATGTTGGCAATATAATAAGCTGTCAAATGATGCCCACACCTGACCCAGATTGCAATTTATAATGGAACAATTTTTGGATTGAGTGAACAACAGTAATTGTATGATGGTGGGGATGCGGGGCTGTGTTTCAAACAAAAAAATACAAGCGTACTTGCTTCAGTTCCTCAATGGCAAAGCTAGTAGACTGATTGAGCGCGGGTCATTGGCGTGTACAATTTTTTTTTCTGGGAATTACCGCTTTTACGTTTCTCTGCCATTATTATTATTTTTTAGATTGGCCTTGGCATTGCAAGCGTATGATACCCAACCTGGTTGGGAATCACTGCCCTAGAGCACAGAAAAAACTATACACATCCCGGCCTAAACATCAGCGCCACAGGTAACTTCCACAAAGCTGTGAACGATCTGAGAGACAAGGCAAGAAGGTCCTTCTACACCATCAAAATAACATGAAATTCGACATACCAATTAGGATCTGGCAAAAAATACTTGAATCAGTTTTAGAACCCATTGCCCTTTATGGTTGTGAGGTCTGGGGTCCACTCACCAACCAATAATTCACAAAATGGGACAAACATCAAATTGAGACTTTGCATGCAAAAATATCCTCAGTGTACAACATAAAACACAAAATAATGCATGTAGAGCAGAATTAGTCCAATACCCTCTAATTATCAAAATCCAGAAAAGAGTCGTTAAATTCTACAACCACCTAAAAGGAAGCAATTCCTAAACCTTCCATAACAAAGCCATCACCTACAGAGAGATGAACCTGAAGAAGAGTCCCCAAAGCAAGCTGGTCCTGGGACACTGTTCACAAACTCAAACAGACCCCACAGAGCCCCAGGACAGCAACACAATTAGACTCAACCAAATCATGAGAAAACAAAAAGATAATTACTTGACACATTGGAAAGAATTAACAACAAAACTGTGCAAACTAGAATGCCCTAAACAGAGAGTACACAGTGGCAGAATACCTGGCCACTGTGACTGACCCAACATTTCGGGAAAACTTTGACTATGTACAGACTCAGTGAGCATAGCCTTGCTATTGAAAGAGGCCGCTGTAGGCAGACCAGGCTCTCAAGAGAAGACAGGCTACAGTATGTGCACACTGCCCACAAAATGAGGTGGAAACTGAGCTGCACTTCCTAACCTCCTGCCAAATGTCTGACCATATTAGAGACACATATTTCCCTCAGATTACACAGACCCACAAAGAATTTGAAAACAAATCAAACTTTATAAACTCCCATATCTATTGGGTGAAATACCACAGTGTGCATCACCAGTGAAGAACAAACACCATCGTAAATACAACCCATATTTATGTTGATTTATTTTCCCTTTTGTACTATAACTATTTGCACATTGTTACAACACTGTACATGTAGAAAAGGCCCATGGAGTTGGTGGATTCGCCATTTAATTCATGGCCACTTGCGCAGCTGGGCCAGAGCGCTTTAATTAGGTCAGGTGGAATTGTCAGACAGATCTCAACTCATTAAAAGGAGGAAATCGCCACCGCCCGACCTCGCTGCTAATCCAGACATAAATCCACCGAATCTGTTATCTTTCATCTGAACTATCTATCATTGTTCATAGTTATTACCACGGAGCGCGGCTTGGAGTGCACGCTTCAAACCTATTGTGTTACGGCAATGGACAATGATCACGGCCCTACAGATCATCACGGGCCAATTACACCATTGTTGATATATGGTTAAAATGTAACGAAATGACATGTACATATGAAGACAAACCTGGAAAGGATGAAATATGAAACAGAATTATTATTTGCTAAATTGATAAATCCTGATATTAAACTGATTGAGATTATAGATTGAATAATTCCCAACTGATCGATTTATTTACATTCTCATGATGAACGGTTATGATCCTAAATGACTCAATCATGCTTCATATTGAATTCCTATTGAACTGAATTGCTGAATTACCTCTGTTAATGATTGTTATGATTTGACTTTTGAATTTGATTTGATACATGTTATTCTGTTTCCTTAGTTATGCAGCACACACAAACTATCCAGTAAATATACCACTTTGTGGTAAAGGAATTCCTGCCTCAGTCTCCTCCATTCCTCTCAGTCACCTGACCTGTGACCACCTGTTCACCTTCACTATTGTCAGTCATCCTACCTGTCTGGCTACACAAACAGATTCCAATAATCTTTCAGTATATAGCCATAATATGACATTTGAAATGTCTCTATTCCTTTGGAACTTTTGTGAGTGTAATGTTTACTGTTTATTTTTGATAATTTATTTCACTTTTGTTTATTATCTATTTCACTTGCTTTGGCAATGTAAACATATTTTTCCCATGCCACTAAAACCCTTTGAATTTAATTGAATTGAGAGAGAGAGACAAAAAGTCAGAGACAGAGACAGACAGAACATTCTACCCCAAACCAGAGAAGGGAGTTCAGGGGAATCAGTGGGGGTTCTGGATGTATGACAAGGGAGCTGTTGGCCCCCATGCTACAGTATCAGCCCCCCAGCTTCTAAAAACAATCCCCCCTCTGTGAGTCTGGGTGTATTTCACAAGCTTGGAAAAGGGATTTGGGGTCCCTTTAAATGCACACCACGGAGCACAGACAAAAGAATCCCTGGTCATTCAACAGAATAAAAGCTTTGTGTGTGTGAAAGAGAGTGACTGAGTCAGTGAGTGAGTGAATGAGAGAGAGGCAGGGTAGAGCGAGAAAAAGATTGTGTACATTGACTTTGTGCATCCAAATCTCTCTGACTCACAATCTCTCCAATCTCTCTCTTTTGCCGTGTCATTCTCTTTTGCCGTGTCAGTCTTTTTTTTACCGTTCTCTCTTGAATTTGATCTCTCTTTCCCTCTCAGGACACATTAAACAACAACTCATTTGGTAAGAAGTACAGCTGGCAGGAGAAGGTCTCGCGCTCATCCTCCCCCCTCAAAACAGGTGAGCTGTTCCACCACCACTTCATGTTACAGGAGACTGCTGGCTCATACCACCAGTTTAATCTTTTAGGGGGTTGCTGATTTTGCAGATATAATTAGGCAACACAGCAGTAACTGCAGAATCAACCACTGCCACTAAAACAATATAAATATTTCCTATTATCCATTCCAACATTGTCGAAAATCTGTCTGTGGATGAATTTCAGTGGCTCATTAGTGTCAGCCATATTGAACAGTCTGCTGTGGCTTAGCTAGCAGCCCAGAGCTACTACAGGTCTTAGAATGGCCTCTCTGAACTATATGTAAAACTAGCAGAGAGTGTGTTGAGTTACAGACTAGATGACCGATGCTGCACAACTATGAAGTTTCTATTAGCCTAGCTGTCACTAAATGTGTTTGGAAGGAAAGGATAACAGAATCAAATAGAAAACGGTTGACTTTTTATTCTTATTCTGTTCTCTGTCTCTCTAATATATAACCGTATCTGCTTTAGGTCCACTAGTCCCAATTTGGTTTAGTGCTTTATATAGCTGTTTTCTTGTTCAGATATCTATTGAAAACCCCCAATAATTAGTAATGGTTGTAATTATAACTTAATTTATGAAAAGCTTTTTATACATTGCTCTCAAAGCATGTATTAGTGTCCTATGATAGCAGTGATGGCATGGTGAATAGCTAGTGTCCCTGCAAGGCTCTAATGTTTTTTTACAGTGAATTTGTGCTGGGCTTTTTGACAGTGGATTATGACATACTAGGTCAATCACATTATATTTGCTGCCCACTGAATATGATGAGTATTTTGGAATTAGCTTGTAATCCCAGTGTTACCTAACCAACTTAACGTTTCTAATATTTGTGTATGTTTGTCTGTGCATGTTGCTGTTGATCTGTATGTGTTTGTTGTTGTCTGTGTGTACTGTTTGTGAACTGCTGCATATGTTTCCATCTGGGTTTTTATCTATGTGCCCTTGTGTGTGTTTGTGTATTTTCTATGTGAATGTGTACATGTGTGCCTGTGTGGACATGTTTGCTTGTATGTCTGTCTGTGAGCCTGCATGACTGTATGCCTGTGTCTTGTATGTATGTCTGTGTATGCCTGGGTCTGTGTCTGTCTCCCTCCCCCAGGTGGGCTGACCTCTCCCCATGAGCACAGCTGTCTGAGCGATGAGGACAAGCTGCAGCAAGGAGGTGGGACGCAGACCAAGGACCGCGGCACATCCACTGACGCTCCCTGCAGACACAAACACACCTCTGGACACACCCACAGCTCCGCAGCAGGGACACGCTCCAAACTGCAGGAGAAGCCCACAGCACCCCCGCCTCCCCAAAACTACACACCCGCACCTCTGGGCCCCCCAGGGAAGGGCGAGGGGGGGACACACAGAGAGAATATCCGCTATCACACAGACGTACGCCTAGAACCCACTGAGGAGATCTATCTGACTCCCGTGCACCGTTCCGAGCAGGACCGCCCATTCCTGTCCCAGCAGCCAGAGCACGGACGCATGTCATTCAGCTCTGACACCGAGGGCCCACCCCCTTACCAGCCTCTGCCCGACCGGACCAACCCCTCCATATGTGAGGAGGACGAGGTGTATGTGCCCCCTTCCTCCTACGCCTCCTGTGTGGAGGCTCTCCTCACCCCTCCCTCTACCGCCCCCCCCAGGGAACCCCCAGCCTTAGCCCTGAACCTCAGCCTGAGGGAAGGAGGAGCAGGGGCGGTGGTGAGGGCAGGGGTAGGGGTGGAGTATGTAGACGCCCAGGACGAGACATTTGGGGGAGAGGGTGAGGCTGAGGATGAGAGGGTAAGGGATGTGGGAGGCAGGCAGTATTTGGGACGTGGCGGCTGTGGTGCCCCCCCGAGGACTTTGATGAGCTCGGAAGCGAGTGGTCTGTCTTACGACTCTGTGAAGTACACACTCGTCGTGGACGAGCACGCACAGCTCGAACTGGTGAGTCTGCAGCAGTGTTACCAATGTTACAGCGACGACAGCGACTCTGCGACCGTCTACGACAATTGTGTCTTGTCTCCGTACGAGTCGGCCATCGGGGAGGAGTATGAGGAGGAAGAGGAAGAAGAAGATAAAGAGGATGAGGAGGAGAGAGCGAGAGTGGAATGGAGGAGAGAAGCAACCGCCTGTCTGTCAGAGGACTCCACCCCAGAGGCGAACCTACACTTCTCTAAGAAGTTCCTCAACATCTTCATGAACGGACAGTCACGGTCCTCCAGTAGGTACCACCACTGAACCACAAGGGCACCATCTTTTGTTCAGACACTGCAGTTTCTTATATTAGGCTTAAAGGGCAACTCCATCACTTTTCATTATCTCCAGCACAATACGAGTGTCAACATATGTGAAAATGGCGCATTTCTAAGTTTTGCAGGAACAAATATAAAGTTCAAAAGTTCTACCCGATGACATCATCAAAAGTTACAACATTTTATTCCTTAATAGTCTATTGACTCACCCGTGCGTCAGTATAAGTAACATAATAAAACAAATCCCCATCAAAATCCATCAGTTTAAGTTAGAGATATCTTTTTGCATCTCAATCAGTGGCGGTTGGTGCCATTTAAGATGAACATGGCCTTATTTCTATTACAGCATATTGGATGACTGTCATCCATATTCCATAGACCAAGCTCAATGGAACATCGATAGGTTTAGGCCACTACATCGTACTTGAATTTACCCTGTACCGATCATGAGGTTGCTACAACCTAGCCTATGAATGAAAGTTTACAACGTAGGTTCACAGGTCAAGATAATTTGACAGACAGTGACACATTTAATACCGCCTTAAACACTCTTGCCTGCATCTAGCTGATTTAGAGTTTCTATTGGACAAATTCTGGTATGTTTATCCCATGTTTCATTCTGTTTGCTTCCGTTTAAGAAATGTTTTTCAACAGTATCTGCGCAATGAATACACCCCTGATCGCACTTAAACACAGTTCACATTCATAGCAGCCACATACAAACAGCTCGTTTTATGCAGTATATAATTTCTTCTCGTATCTACGCTCTCTCCTCCCCTCACCTTTTCCCTAAGATTGTGGACTTCAGTGCACAACACATCAGCTGTCTGTGACCAGGCAAAAGAAACACAGCCTATAATGTTGTCACATCATAGTCAACATAGCTACTAGAACTAGCGTGTTAGTAAACCCGCTACAATCATGCAGTACAGTGTACAATCAGCAGCAAGCAGTTTAGCAGTTACACCGGCGGGTCCCGGTGGCAATATATTAATAAAACCAAAAGCTTACCTTGACTTGGAAGAGTTCCAGTTTTGGATAGCCAGCTAGCTAACATAGCCTCTCTCTCTCTCTCTCTCTCTCTCTCTCTCAACACATTTTATGCAGTGCTAGCTAGCTGTAGCTTATGCTTTCAGTACTAGATTAATTCTCTGATCCTTCGATTGGGTGGACAACATGTCAGTGCATGTTGCAAGAGCTCTGACAGGTTGGAGGACGTCCTCCGGAAGTTGTCATAATTACGGTGTAAGTCTATGGAAGGGGGTGGGAACCAAGAGCCTCCTAGGTTGTTTATTTAAGTCAATCTACCCAGAGGAGGACAGAAGCTAGCTGTCCTCCGGCTACACTGTGGTGCTACCCTTCCTCCTCTGAGGAGCCTCCACTGGTCTCAATCCACCGTATCTGCCTATGTAAGCCTTCCGCATCTGCGGTGGAAGGTGGCCAAGCTTCTCACGAAAATGTCTATAGCATCCGAACGGTCTGTAGCGTCCGTTTTGCTCTACGACCCCCACAAGTGTCACGGAACTCGTCTGAATGTAACCCATACAAATGAATGAAAGTATGGAGGTAGTTTTGTGCCAACAAAGAAAAGGGGTTATATATGTGTAAAAAAAAACTTATACCTCGTAGATATAGGCCAGACACTACAAAACCTTACTCCTTATGATAAAATGGTTCACTGTCTATTTATGAACGTATTATTTAATGTGTTTCTATGGGCCAAAATTACCACATTCCTCAGTGAAGAGGTCCTCAACCAACAATCTGAATTGCCCGAAAGGCACTAATGCATCCAATTGCAGAGTATTCTGTAGTGACAGAAGGAATTTCAAGACATGGCCATACCTGTGACCCGGGTTAGGTAATGCTGGAGTTTTTGCGAAAGGGCTTTATAAATTAACAGAATGCAATGTTTCGACCTATGCAACGTCAAAGAGGCCCAGCCTACTTTTTCATAGAGAAAACCTGTAACCCGGATAAAAGCAAGTGTGCTATGGTAAACCGCATCTAACAGCTTAACAGTGGCAGCTGCATTCATGTAGATGATGTCACCATAGTCTAGGACCGGTAGGAATGTCGACTGAATGATCTGTTTTCTACTATTAAGCATGACAAATGATCTATTTCTATAGAAGAAACCCATTTTTATTCTCAGCTTCTTAGTTAACTCGTTTATATGTTTTTTAAAAGGCAACGTATTGTCTTATCCAAATGCCCAGGCAGAGACACGGTCATTGTGGGCATAATCCAAGGTACAGATTATTAAATCTTTAGAGTCATTGTTGTGCGCTATAGAAAACAACATGTACTTTGTTTTTCCAGCATTCAATAATTATTTAAGGTCAAGAAGTGTTTTTTGTAAGACAATGAAAGCAGTCTGTAAGTCAAAGTGCCTGGTCCACAATGGGGGCAATAGAATACACAACAGTATCATACGCATACAGGTGCAGTTTACAATTTTTTTCCACAGACAACCCAATATTGTTAATGTAGACCAGGGGATCTTCAACTTTTTCAGCTTGAGACCCCTGATATACAGTGGGGAAAAAATGTATTTAGTCAGCCACCAATTGTGCAAGTTCTCCCACTTAAAAAGATGAGAGGCCTGTAATTTTCATCATAGGTACACATCAACTATGACAGACAAAATGAGCATTTTTTTCCAGAAAATCACATTGTAGGATTTTTTATGAATTTATTTGCAAATTATGGTGGAAAATAAGTATTTGGTCAATAACAAAAGTTTCTCAATACTTTGTTATATACCCTTTGTTGGCAATGACACAGGTCAAACGTCTTCTGTAAGTCTTCACAAAGTTTTTACACACTGTTGCTGGTATTTTGGCCCATTCCTCCATGCAGATCTCCTCTAGAGCAGTGATGTTTTGGGGCTGTCGCTGGGCAACACGGACTTTCAACTCCCTCCAAAGATTTTCTATGGGGTTGAGATCTGGAGACTGACTAGGCCACTCCAGGACCTTGAAATGCTTCTTACGAAGCCACTCTTTCGTTGCCCAGGCGGTGTGTTTGGGATCATTGTCATGATCAAACACCCAGCCATGTTTCATCTTCAATGCCCTTGCTGATGGAAGGAGGTTTTCACTCAAAATCTCACGATAAATGGCCCCATTCATTCTTTCCTTTACACGGATCAGTCGTCCTGGTCCCTTTGCAGAAAAACAGCCCCAAAGCATGATGTTTCCACCCCCATGCTTCACAGTAGGTATGGTGTTCTTTGGATGCAACTCAGCATTCTTTGTCCTCCAAACACGACGAGTTGAGATTTTACCAAAAAGTTCTATTTTGGTTTCATCTGACCATATGACATTCTCCCAATCCTCTTCTGGATCATCCAAATGCACTCTAGCAAACTTCAGATGGGCCTGGACATGTACTGGCTTAAGCAGGGGGACACGTCTGGCACTGCAGGATTTGAGTCCCTGGCGGCATAATGTGTTACTGATGGTAGGCTTTGTTACTTTGGTCCCAGCTCTCTGCAGGTCATTCACTAGGTCCCCCCGTGTGGTTCTGGGATTTTAGCTCACCGTTCTTGTGATCATTTTGACCCCACGGGGTGAGATCTTGCGTGGAGCCCCAGATCGAGGGAGATTATCAGTGGTCTTGTAGGTCTTCCATTTCCTAATAATTGCTCCCACAGTTGATTTCTTCAAACCAAGCTGCTTACCTATTGCAGATTCAGTCTTCCCAGCCTGGTGCAGGTCTACAATTTTGTTTCTGGTGTCCTTTGACAGCTCTTTGGTCTTGGCCATAGTGGAGTTTGGAGTGTGACTGTTTGAGGTTGTGGACAGGTGTCTTTTATACAGATAACAAGTTCAAACAGGTGCCATTAATACAGGTAACGAGTGGAGGACAGAGGAGCCTCTTAAAGAAGAAGTTACAGGTCTGTGAGAGCCAGAAATCTTGCTTGTTTGTAGGTGACCAAATACTTATTTTCCACCATAATTTGCAAATAAATTCATTAAAAATCCTACAATGTGATTTTCTGGAGAAAAAAAATCTCAATTTGTCTGTCATAGTTGACGTGTACCTATGATGAAAATTACAGGCCTCTCTCATCTTTTTAAGTGGGAGAACTTGCACAATTGGTGGCTGACTAAATACTTTTTTTCCCCACTGTACAGTACCTTCATAAATTATTCAAACCTTTTACACATGTTGTTGTGCTACAGCCTGAATTTAAAATGGATTAAATTAAGATTTTGTGTCACTGATCTACACACAATACCCCATAAAGTGGAATTTTGTTTGTAGAAAATGTTGACTATAGTGGCTTTCGATAATATTCACCCCCCTTGGCATTTTTCCTATTTTGCTGCCTTACAACCTGGAATTAAAATTGATTTTGTCGGTGTTTGTATCATTTGATTTACACAACATGCCTACCACTTTGAAGATGCAAAATATTTTTTTGTGAAAAACACTAGAAATAAGACAAAAAAACTGAAAACTTGAGCATGCATAACTATTCTATAAGTTGAAACTCTATGGAAAAACTTGAAAATGGCTGTCTAGCAATGACCAACCATCAACTTGACAGAGCTTGAAGAATTTTAAAAAGAATAATGGGCAAATATTGTACAATCCAGGTGTGCAAAGCTCTTAGAGACTTAACAAAAAGATTCACAGCTGCAATTGCCGCCAAAGGTGCTTATACAAAGTATTGACTCAGGGGTGTGAATACTTATGTTTTCGACATATTTCTGCATTTAATTTTCAATATATTTGCAAAGATTTCTGCAAATATTTTTCAATTGGTCATTATGGGGTATTATGAGTAGATGGGTGAGAATAACATATATTTCATCCATGCAGCACTTGGAAACAGTACTTCAGAATAAAAATGAATCTTCTTTTACTCCCAACTTCTCCAGGTGCAGAGTCGTTTTGCTTGTTCTCCTGCATCATAAATGGGGAGGAGAGGGAACAGAGTCACAGAGCCGTCTACAGGTGAGATACATCTTTATTATCATCATCACATCATCAGTCATCGTCGTCACCTGCACTACTGCGAATTACATTTTGCAGGTATTTATACAAAGTGACTTATTAAACACATCCTTTCAGTATATAGCTGATGTGGGAATTAAACCCACAACTATATCCTAGCACTGATTAAACAAACACCTCTAACCCATCATACTTACTCATAGCACTTAGGTAATCCTAACCACTAAATTAATTGACCATTTACACTTTAGCATTGCTTTGTAGCATTTAGTAATGTGACTTGTCAGTTATCCTCCATGACATATAGATTTGACAGGCCGAATGGGTCTCTTGGAATCAGTAGAGCAGAAAAACCTATGTATAGTTACGTCGTTCCACAAATAGAGTACATTTTGCGTCCCTTTGATATTTTAAGTAGAAATTGTGCACAAATATTGCATTTTAAAAGACTATTACAGCATATTAAATGAAGTTCTCTTTAATATAGACCACCTGAACAAGTCAATAAATTAATTAATTTTCATTTTATTGCATGACATAAGTATTTGATCACCTACCAACCAGTATGAATTCCGGCTCTCACAGACCTGTTAGTTTTTCTTTAAGAAGCCCTCCTGTTCTCCACTCATTACCTGTATTAACTGCACCTGTTTGAACTCGTTACCTGTATAAAAGACACCTGTCCACACACTCAATCAAACAGACTGCAACCTCTCCACAATGGCCAAGACCAGAGAGCTGTGTAAGGCCATCAGGGATCAAATTGTACCTGTACAAGGCTGGAATGGGCTACAGGACAATAGGCAAGCAGCTTGGTGAGAAGGCAACAACTGTTGGTGCAATTATTAGAAAATGGAAGAAGTTCAAGATGACGGTCAATCACCCTCGGTCTGGGGCCCCATGCAAGATCTCACCTCGTGGGGCATCAATGATCATGAGGATGGTGAGGGATCAGCCCAGAACTACACGGCAGGACCTGGTCAATGACCTGAAGAGAGCTGGGACCACAGTCTCAAAGAAAACCATTAGTAACACACTACGCCGTCATGGATTAAAATCCCCCTGCTCAAGCCAGCGCATGTCCAGGCACGTCTGGAGTTTGCCAATGACCATCTGGATGATCCAGAGGAGGAATGGGAGAAGGTCATGTGGTCTGATGAGACAAAAATAGAGCTTTATGGTCTAAACTCCACTCGCCGTGTTTGGAGGAAGAATAAGGATGAGTACAACCCCAAGAACACCATCCCAACCGTGAAGCATGGAGGTGGAAACATCATTCTTTAGGGATGCTTTTCTGCAAAGGGGACAGGATGACTGCAACCGTATTGAGGGGAGGATGGATGGGGCCATGTATCGCAAGATCTTGGCCAACAACCTCCTTCCCTCAGTAAGAGCATTGAAGATGGGTCGTGGCTGGGTCTTCCAGCATGACAATGACCCAAAACACACAGCCAAGGCAACTAAGGAGTGGTTCCATAAGAAGCATCTCAAGTTCCTGGAGTTGCCTAGCTGGTCTCCAGACCTCAACCCAATAGAAAATCTTTGGAGGGAGCTGAAAGTCTGTATTGCCCAGCGACAGCCCCGAAACCTGAAGGATCTGGAGAAGGTCTGTATGGAGGAGTGGGCCAAAATCCCTGCTACAGTGTGTGCAAACCTGGTCAAGACCTACAGGAAACGTATGATCTCTGTAATTGCAAACAAAGGTTTCTGTACCAAATATTAAGTTCTGCTTTTCTGATGTATCAAATACTTATGTCATGCAATAAAACGCAAATTAATTACTTAAAAATCATACCATGTGATTTTCTGGATATTTGTTTTAGATTCCGTCTCTCACAGTTGAAGTGTACCTATGATAACAATTACAGACCTCTACATGCTTTGTAAGTAGGAAAACCTGCAAAATCGGCAGTGTATCAAATACTTGTTCTCCCCACTGTATGTCTGTCCCTCATGTTAAGGTCAACCCCTGTTATGTGAACTGAATTCTCGTTTTAATATAGTGAAACTATTCCTTTTTAAAGGGATACTATGAGATTTGGGGATTTAATTTATTTACCTAGAAAGATGAACTCATCAATACCATTTTTATGTCTCGGTATGCAGTTTGAAGGTAACTGACATTAGCTTATCGTTAGCATAGCGCAATGGCTGGAAGTCTCCAGGTAGAGTAACCAGCTCCTCTCAAAAGCAGGGAAATATACCTTCTAACTATTCCAAAGCTGGTTGGTTGGTCATTTATAGTCCTACATAGTAATTTATATATTTTATAAATTCTCACAGGACACTCACAAACTATATTGGACATGCGATGGTACTACCATCTATCTAGCTCAGAACTGAAGCGCTGTCCCGTTGTCGCAGTTGGCTGGCTGTGTTGACTTGAGAGGTTGCACATAACCTTTTCTTTCGCCTACGGCAGATGAATGAAATGCATATTTCAGATAAAATAGTTCCAAAAATAACTGCATTTAAAACAACTAGAATTGAAATATGATAGTTTTATATATACTTAGGAGTAGCTAGAAGGTATTTTTCCATGCTTTTGAGAGGAGCTGGCTACCTGGAGACCTCCAGCAATTGTGCTAAGCTAACGATGATCTAATGTCAATTATCTTTAAACTCAGCATTGGGCCAGTAACCGAAAGGTTGCTGGATTGAATCCCCAAGCCGGCAAGGTGGGAAAATCTGGAGTCCTAAAAACAATTAAATAAGTGTATGTTATTTGGCAAGTCACGGATTGGCTCTCAGAAAAATTCAACCCCCCCAGACCTCCTGAAAGCTAAAAAAAAGCAATAACATTTTCAATATACATATATAGAGTGTTTGACTGATTTGGACATAGATTGTGCCAAACTAACGGGCTGCTCAATACACATCGTTTGGTGTATTGTTGGTCTGTGTTCAACAGAGGGGGCCAACGCCACAGTGGAATTCAAGGAAGTACTACCACAGAAATATTTCAATTTGGTCATCCTTTTACAATTACTCGTAACTTCATCATACATTTGAACAGTATAAGACAAGTGATCCTTCATGTACTGTCACACACCCTCTGTTTACAAAACAATAGATTAAAACACGCTTATATTTTGGGTTCTGATTGGGTATGACAGTTGAACTAAGCTCATGACGCAAATTATATTCTTCAAGAATCAAAGTCAAAAATGTATGTAGCAACTGCAGATTGCCCCTTTAAGGAACACAAATATTAAACAGTTTGATCCTGACAACCAAATGATTCAAGCACATTACATTGTAAGTACAGGAATATTCCTTAGCTATGGTGTTTGACCACTATAAGCAGTTCAGTAGTATATCTATGTATCTTATAAGCTGAGTGCACTGTATCTGTTACCAGCCAAATGTACACAGGTGTAGACTTGAACGTTACACAGTTAGAAAATTGGCTTTCTAAGCATGAACAGGTTCTAAAATCTGTTGTTCTGTCTGGCTGTTTGTCCCTGTTTCTGTGACAACTACAGGTTTGTCCCTCGCCATGAAGATGAGCTGGAGTTGGAGGTGGATGACCCTCTACTAGTGGAGGTACAAGCAGAGGATTACTGGTACGAAGGCTACAACATGCGTACAGGCACCCACGGCATCTTTCCTGCTTACTACGCCATAGAGGTCGCCAAGGAGCCAGAGAGCTTAAAAGGTACAATGCTTTGATCCCTGCTTATTTACACAGTGCTAAAATGCTAAATGAGTATTTGCACCACTTTAAAAGGGCAATCTGTAGTTCAAACAATAACAAAGCCAACATCCCACCACTGTTTTCGTAAACAGCTGAGGGATGGGACTGGAGAAATGTAACCACTCATCAGAGCTATGGATGCAAGGATTGACCATTCATGATATCAACATTATAGTTTTTACCATGTTTTGAGGCTATGTAACTGTTTACAATTAAATTGTTTACACACAGTGGATCAAGACAAGCTGATAGTTTTGAACTAAGCTCATGAGAAATGTAGAAGTTATATTCTTCAAGAATCAATTGGTCTACAGTATATCATTAATTTAAAAGTCTACAAATTGATGTGACAACTGCAGATTGCCTCTTTAAGGAACACAAATATTAAATAGTTTGATCCTCATAACCAAATGATTCAGCACATGACATTGTAAGTAAAGTAAAATGTATTTGCCATGGTGTGTAACCAATCGCAGATTGCCACTTTAAAGAACACTATTGTGTTGACAGCTCTATAGGTGAATATATTGATGCACATTACAGTACTAATGGCATTGATCCAACCGTGTGTAGAGCACTTTAACCCTTCCCTTCTGTTCCGGGGCAATTTGAAAAGAGTTCGAAATCACTAAAATACTATTTTACGTCATTTTTCAACCATGACCCTTCATCTGCTTTCCTGAGGATGGGTCTCAAACTTGCAAAACACATAATTAAACAAATACAATTAACTTTAAACCCAGTACCGGAATAGTGACATGATGTTCTGGGTAAATTTTACCCGCAATTTGACCTTGAACATGGTCTATTTAACTTTATATATAGAAACAAACTGCTTACTGCACAGGAATGGTGCAACCATGATAATCACATAGATATAAGTATGATTTCCCTATGTTGCTGAGCAACACTGATCTGAAGTCAATTTAACCAGGAATTTGGCTCCCGCAATTTGACCTTGACCTACATAACCTTTGAACGGTGTGACCTGGAAACAATCTGCTTTCTGCACAGGAATGGTGCAAACATGATGATCACAAATAATGTCCCTATGATGCTCAGAGGCTAAGCAACACTGATCTGAAGTAAATTTGACCTTGACCTTTGTGCTAGAGACAAATGTTATTCTGTGGAGTAAAGATCCGTCCATGATTGTATCATTTATATTTTAGTCATTTTAGCAAACACTCTTATCCAGAGCGACTTACAGTTAGTGAGTGCATACATTTTTTTTTTCATACTGACCCCCCGTGGGAATCGAACCCACAACCCTGGCGTTGCAAACGCCATGCTCTACCAACTGAGCTTCACGGGGCCTGAGCTATACGGGGATCACAAGGATATAGGTATGCTTTCCCTGTAATGTTCTGAGGCCGAGGAACAGTGATCTGAAGTTAGGCAAAACATTTGCTATAAAGGTCTTAAATGTCATAAAATGTCATAATTTGATTGATTTACGACTTTGGTACAGTAATCAAACATTTGGCTCTAACTTTTGAACAATTGGGTCCATCAATTTAGGGGAAAAGCATATGAAAGAAGAAACTGAGCTACTAGAAAAAACATTTTGGGAGGTTAAGATCCTATATTTGTGATCTTGATGGACTTATTGTACTTACTGTACTGGTCAAATTGACCCGGAACATAAACGGTGTTGGCCCAATCGAACATAAGAGAAGGGCTAGAAGTACTGAGTCAGCCTTGTCCAGCACTAACCCATTATTATGTATGCAGTGCTTAAATGTTGACCCATCTTCATTCAGAGCACTTTAAAGGTCCATTATGTAGCTTTGTGGAAGAACCAACAGATTTCCTATAGAAATGGGAGTTGATATGTCATTCTCATTGAAAGCAAGTCTGACAAGCAGTAGATCTGTTCTATGTACAATATTTCTATGCTCCCCCTCCATAAGTTTCATTTTTGTGTCTTCTTACTTTCAGTTCTGTACACCAGCTTCAAACAGCTGAAAATACATTATTTTTGCTGTTCTCACTAAGGGCATGCTCCAATGAGCGCTTCTTTAGCTAGATAGCCAGCTAAACTTTTCTTAACACTAATCATCCAAGAACCAGGCTGGAGATATAATTTGAAGATTTAATTTCAGAAGTCTAAAACTGTACGCACAAAACTATAACCACAGCATGCCAAAAGGTAAGTATGATATTCTCACATACATTGGGGAAAAAAAGTATTTAGTCAGCCACCAATTGTGCAAGTTCTCTCACTTAAAAAGATGAGAGAGGCCTGTAATTTTCATCATAGGTACACGTCAACTATGACAGACAAAATTAGAATTTTCTTTCCAGAAAATCACATTGTAGGATTTTTATGAATTTATTTGCAAATTATGGTGGAAAATAAGTATTTGGTCAATAACAAAAGTTTCTCAATACTTTGTTATATACCCTTTGTTGGCAATGACACAGGTCAAATGTTTTCTGTAAGTCTTCACAAGGTTTTCACACACTGTTGCTGGTATTTTGGCCCATTCCTCCATGCAGATCTCCTCTAGAGCAGTGATGTTTTGGGGCTGTCGCTGGGCAACACAGACTTTCAACTCCCTCCAAAGATTTTCTATGGGGTTGAGATCTGGAGACTGGCTAGGCCACTCCAGGACCTTGAAATGCTTCTTACGAAGCCGCTCCTTCGTTGCCCAGGCGGTGTGTTTGGGATCATTGTCATGCTGAAAGACCCAGCCACGTTTCATCTTCAATGCCCTTGCTGATGGAAGTAGGTTTTCACTCAAAATCTCACGATACATGGCACCATTCATTCTTTCCTTTACACGGATCAGTCGTCCTGGTCCCTTTGCAGAAAAACAGCCCCAAAGCATGATGTTTCCACCCCCATGCTTCACAGTAGGTATGGTGTTCGTTGGATGCAACTCAGCATTCTTTGTCCTCCAAACACGACGAGTTGAGTTTTTTACCAAAAAGTTATATTTTGGTTTCATCTGACCATATGACATTCTCCCAATCCTCTTCTGGATCATCCAAATGCACTCTAGCAAACTTCAGACGGGCCTGGACATGTACTGGCTTAAGCAGGGGGACACGTCTGGCACTGCAGGATTTGAGTCCCTGGCGGCGTAGTGTGTTACTGATGGTAGGCTTTGTTACTTTGGTCCCAGCTCTCTGCAGGTCATTCACTAAGTCCCCCCGTGTGGTTCTGGGATTTTTGCTCACCGTTCTTGTGATCATTTTGACCCCACGGGGTGAGATCTTGCGTGGAGCCCCAGATCGAGGGAGATTATCAGTGGTCTTGTATGTCTTCCATTTCCTAATAATTGCTCCCACAGTTGATTTCTTCAAACCAAGCTGCTTACCTATTGCAGATTCAGTCTTCCCAGCCTGGTGCAGGTCTACAATTTTGTTTCTGGTGTCCTTTGACAGCTCTTTGGTCTTGGCCATAGTGGAGTTTGGAGTGTGACTGTTTGAGGTTGTGGACAGGTGTCTTTTATACTGATAACAAGTTCAAACAGGTGCCATTAATACAGGTAACGAGTGGAGGACAGAGGAGCCTCTTAAAGTTACAGGTCTGTGAGAGCCAGAAATCTTGCTTGTTTGTAGGTGACCAAATACTTATTTTCCACCATAATTTGCAAATAAATTCATTAAAAATCCTACAATGTGATTTTCTGGCATTTTTTTCCTCAATTTGTCTGTCATAGTTGACGTGTACCTATGATGAAAATTACAGGCCTCTCATCTTTTTAAGTGGGAGAACTTGCACAATTGGTGGCTGAATAAATACTTTTTTCCCCCACTGTATATAGATAGATACATGTAGAATTGGCTGTATCAAAGCTAAACATGAACATATAACATGTTGGGACAATAGTAGGAGAGAATAATGATTTACAGGTCTCACAAGGTAGGTATAGGCTACAATAGTCCTTTGTAGATTGGGCATTTTACAGGGAGGTGAACATCCAGGATGAACCAAAATATACCAAACAGGTAGGACACAGGTGAGTATACTAACACAAATACACATTTGCATACACACACATCCATGCTGATTAGTTAGCATGACGATTAAAGAGAGAAACATGAATAGCAATGAGGCTAGCTAACCGCCAAGCTAAACACCATACATTTCAATGGGATCGGTTAAAACCATTTTAGCTAGCGACCTTTTTAAACATCCTAAAAGTAATAAATGGTGAAATAATGAATAGTACATGCACACACATTAACAATAAATATGAATACTTACAGATGATGTCAAATTATTAGTTATATGATGGTGAAGGATGGAATGTTGCTTACCTCGAGGATAGTTAAGTGGTTACTAGTTACTAAGATGCAAAATACGAAAACAGGTGAGGGTACAATGTTTATTGATGGACAGTTATTGATGGTACAATGATTGTCTACATTATATATTGATTTTGTCATTAGAAACCAGGAAATGGCAGAGCTATTACTACATATTGTGCCCTTAAATGTACTGTAGCATCCATAGTTTATATTGTTTCTCTATCTCTCTCTCTCCCCTACAGTGAAGAGCAGTGAATGGGTAGACAGATACCGCATGAAATTCCTGGGCTCGGTCCAAGTGCCCTACCACAAAGGCAACGATGTTCTGTGTGCAGCTATGCAGAAGGTATGGAATGTGCTGTGTGTGTGCTTGTGAAAGAGAGAGTGAGAGGATAGAAAGAGTGTGAGAGAGATGTCAACTGTCACGTTACCAATGGAAACCATAAACTTTAACTGAGTGAGAGGGGGAGGAAGAGACAGATGGATGAAGAGACAGATGAAGTGAGTAGGAACATGGGAAATAATGGGGGAGAAAGAGTGAGAGGTAAACAGTATAGTTTATTCTCTATGAAAATACTATTGAGATAGTATGGTTGGGGTCGGAATTCAGAATTTAATTTTATTCAACGCATTAATTGAAATTTGAATTGGACACATCCCACAGAAAGCAGAATTGTAATTTAATTTTAATTAAAGGAAGTAAATTAAGACATAAAAGTGCCATTCATTTGATTCAACCACACTGTATCTTATACATAGTATTGGTTACCATACATGATTTCAAAACAATTATATTTGTGTAGTGATGTGTAGAATAAATAAGCCATTTGAATTCAATTCCAAGTCTGTTTCCTGTGGGGTGTGGACAAATTTAAGAATAGAATTGGAATTAAAGAGCAATTCGCAATTCAATTCAGAATTGACCCCAACCCTGTATTACACAAACAAGCATTGACAGGAGAAGAATCTGAGATTACAAATTAGAAAGGTTAAGACAGGAAATCATTAAAACATGATAGAAAAGAAAATAGGACAGAGGCAGGTTGAGAAGTGGTATTAGCCATTGCTCATAGCTAAATTACATGACCAAAAGTATGTGTACACCTGCCCGTCGAACATCTCATTCCAAAATCATGGGCATTAATATGGAGATGGTCCCCCCTCTTCTGGGAAGGCTTTCCACTAGATGTTGGAACATTGCTGAGGGGACTTGCTTCCATTCAGCCACAAGAGCATTATTTATTTTTATTTATTTAACTAGGCATTAGTGAGGTTGGGCAGTGATGTTGGGCGATTAGGCCTGGCTTGCAGTCGGCATTCCAATTCATCCCAAAGGTGTTCGATGGGGTTGAGGTCAGGTCTCTGTGAAGGCCAGTCAAGTTCTTCCACACCGATCTTGACAAACCATTTCTGTATGGACCTTGCTTTTGGCACGGGGGCATTGTCATGCAGAAACAGGAAAGGGCCTTCTCCAAACTGTTGCCACAAAGTTGGAAGCACAGAATCATCTAGAATGTCATTGTATGCTGTAACGTTACGATTTCCCTTCACTGGAACTAAGGGGCCTAGCCTGAACCATGAAAACCAGCCCCAGATCACTATTCCTCCTCCACCAAACTTTACAGTTGGCCCTATGCATTAGGGCAGGTAGCATTCTCCAGGCATTTGAAATTTGACAAACTGACTTGTTGGAAAGGTGGTATCCTATGACGGTGCCACGTTGAAAGTCACTGAGCTCTTCAGTAAGGCCATTCTACTGCCAATGTTTGTCTATGGAGATTACATGGTTGTGTGCTCGGTCAGCAACGGGTGTGGCTCAAATAGCTGAATCCACTAATTTGAAGATGTGTCCACATACTTTTGTATATATATATAGTGTATATTTCTAGCTGAGATGCCACTAGAATTTTAAGACCAATAACCCACCTCTTTCCAATGTTCATGTTTTAAATTCCAATTAGTAGAATAAGGATGCACAAGTTGTCTTGTTTTTATGTTGTTGTTTTTTTTACATATCAATTCAATATCTAAACCAGCCCTGATGTTTCAGCTGCTGCTTTTCTCAAGGGATGCTGATGCTGTTTTGATTGCCACCAGATTGCCACCAATAGAAGGATGACAGTGCAGTATAACCCACCATCGTCTTGTATCCTTGAGATCAACGTGAAAGGTGTGAAGCTCCTAGTCCAGGATGACTACTATGCCTCTGACAGAGTAAGACTTTCACACTCAAATGCACACACATTGTACACATACACACGCACACGCACACACACACACACACACACAAACAGGACAGGTACACACACAGACATACTCAGATTTATGCACACACACGTACACACTCTACACATGCGTTTGCATCACACACACACACTTCTTAAGGCACACCTTCAACGCATTTTAGAAAGACAGAAGTTTAGTTTGGACCAAAGTATGACTACAAGACTTCACATTTGGCTTGCAAGACTAGATACATAGAGACTTTTTATACAAACCTCTGACCAGCAAGATCACACTGAGGTACGTCTTCCCAGTAAAGAAGGTTGATAACGCCCCAGTGTGGGCACTACAGGGTATTGCAGACCACACATAATAATCCAGTTGTACTGCATAGAAGCAAGTGAGAATTTTATCTGGCAACAGCGGTGCCCTCCAAAACTGAAGTCAAGCTATGTAACCATCAGTGGGTTCTTTGTTGACATTAAGGCTAAGATTTGTTTTAATATCTAATCTAATTGGTCAATCATAAGGTTCACTAGCTACTGCTCCTACAGAATATATGGTTTAAGCAGACAGCAAACTCCATGAGAAATGCAGTTGTTGACATGGAGGGTGGATACTTTTTACCCTCAACACCTGTTTTTCAGAGCCATAGAATTTGGTCAATGAGGTTTGTACCAAAGAACTATGATGTATTCATATGACAGCACATACCAGATACTGTATCTAGAACATTATGGGTGATCATTCTAGATTATAGGTAGTCATTCTAGATTATGGGTAGTCATTCTAGTTTCCAAATTAAATTGGCCTACAATTACATCAAGTAAACAGGTGTCACACAACTGATACACTATGACATGGGGTGTACTACATAGTGTGAAATACATTTTGGTTACATACCTGTACTCCTGTCTAAATGTCCGGATGACACAGGCGACAGTAAAACGGCTCAAGTTGGGCTGCACTCTCTGTCCAGCCTCTCGCATTGTCAGCCCATGGTTAATGACATGATCAACTAAGTTTGCTCTGATTTCATTTGAAAGTTGTTGTCCTCTTTGGCCATGAACTCCTCTACCAGCTCTACCCCTACCTCTCACTCTTCCTCCCCCTCTCATTCTCACCCTCCCTCTTCCTCTTCCTCTCTCTGCAACATCTTCCATTGTTGTTGTAAAACAAAAAAGGTGCTCACCTGTGGTCTTTTCATAGTGCTTACTTCCTGATTGAAGTGGTAACAATTAACCATTGAGGTGTTTGGCCAGGTGGCACATGTATTGGCCAATTAGCTCATGTAGTGTCATTTTGAATGGCAGTGTTTTTAAATGGAAAACATGTGACTTTATGTCAGATTGTTGTGTCTTATGCAGAGAACCATGTGCAGTGCATTTACAAAGTGCCATTTTGAATTGCAAAATGTGTGTAAAGCAGAAAATGTGTTTTGGAGACTTGAGTAGAGGTTTTGCTCTCTGTGTGTCAGTTTAAATAATTGTGCTGTGCATGTCATTGTAGTGTGTTAGCAATTGGAAAAAACTGTAATATAGATGTGTGTGTGTGTGTGTGTGTGTGTGTGTGTGTGTGTGTGTGTGTGTGTGTGTGTGTGTCTGTCTGTCTGTCTGCCATCACAGAGTAACCAGTGCAGCCACTTCTTCCAGTTGAAGAATGTTTCCTTCTGTGGCTATCACCCTAAGAACAGCAAGTAAGTACCTGGATCTGGATGACATTTTGTCAGTCATGCTCACTGTGTTCAAGTAACAATGATCTTTTTGGGAGAGTCATAGCGCAGGCAGTGGAGGAAATGGAGAAAGAGAATCACTCTCAGAACCGGAAAATCTGCATTTATTTTACTCCTGGAACCTGGTTCCCTCTGGGGTTTCGCTCCTCTGACCCCTGTATATTTTTTTTAACCTATGTGTGGGTTGTATGGTTTCCTCTTAGGTACTTTGGCTTCATCACAAAACACCCAGCTGACCAGAGATTTGCCTGTCATGTGTTTGTGTCTGAAGATTCGACTAAACCCCTGGCAGAGTCTGTTGGGTGAGGATTGAGGACTTTGTTTCTGTCTTAAAAAATATATATATCCTGTCACTCTTTTGCTCTTTGTCCCTCTATTTTATATTGTCAGAGGATTCAAGAGGTTCTTAGCCATAGTGGGCCAATTACAACCAACATTGGGCACTGTCTCAACACGAGGTGATCTCTCGTTAAACCACCAATATGCGCTAAAATCACCCACACAGCTTATCTCAATTGCAACCACTATTGGCCATTATATTATCGCTCCCTAAAGCTGATGTCAGTGTTTAAAGGGTGACTGCGCTTCGTGATTTGGCCTCGTTTTTCATCAATGTCCATTAAGAAATGCTGAAGGCATACAAGAGTGATCTTGGGGGTGTGGTTTGATGTGGGTGTTTCTTGGGTGTGTCTTTGTCATTCAATCACAACAAACAAGTGCAGCAGTGAGTACAGCGAGGTAAGCTAAACTATATTTGCTATGGAGAGAACGATGTTTTGAAGTTTTGTATTGCATACACATAAATTAGTTTGCAGATGTTATCATGGGTGTAGCGAAATGCTTATGTTGCAAGCTCCAACAGTGCAGTAATACCTAACAATACAAAACAATACAAGCAAATCCAAAACAGAAAAATAAAATAATTAAGAAATATAGATATATTATAATGAGCAATGTCAGAGTCCGGAATATAATTATGTGCATTTGGAAAGTATTCAGACCCCTTGACCTTTTCCACATTTTCTTACTTTACAGCCTTATTCTAAAATTGATTTAATTGTTTTTTCCCCCTCATCAATCTACACACAATACCCCATAATGACAAAGCAAAAACAGGTAAAACAATAAGAATAATTGTTTTTTAAAAATACATGAAATATCAAATTTACATAAGTGTTCACTCTTTTCTCAGTGCTTTGTTGAAGCACCTTTGGCAGCAATTACAGCCTTGAGTCTTCTTGGGTATGACGCTATAAACTTGGCACACCTGTATTTGGGGAGTTTCTCCCATTCTTCTCTGCAGATCCTCTCAAGCTCTGTCAGGTTGGAGGGGGAGTGTCGCTGCACAGCTATTTTCAGTTCTAAACAGAGATGTTTGATTGGGTTCAAGTCCGGGCTCTGGCTGGGCCACTCAAGGATTTTCAGAGACTTGTCCCAAAGCCACTCCTGCATTTTATTGGCGGTGTGCTTAGGGTCGTTGTGCTGATGGAAGGTGAACATTCGCCCCATCCTGAGGTCCTGAGCGCTCTGGAGCAGGTTTTCATCAAGGATCTCTGTACTTTGCTCCAATCATCTATCCCTCAATCCTGACTAGTCTCCAAGTCCCTGCCGCTGAAAAACATCCCCACAACATGATGCTGCCACCACCATGATTAACCGTAGGGATGGTGCCAGCTTTCCTCCAGATGTGACACTTGGCATTCAGGCCAAAGAGTTCAATCTTGATTTTATCAGGTCTGAGAGTCCTTTAAATCAAATCAAACTTTATTTGTCACATGTACAAACTCAATGATGGTGTTGGAGTCGTGCTTGGCCATGAGTCATGGGTGAACAGGGAGTACAAGAGGGGACTGAGCACGCAACCCTGAGGGGCCCCCGTGTTGAGGATCAGCGCGGCAAATGTGTTTTACATTGTCATTACAAGCTTTACGT